TCTGTTGGGTAAATGATATTGAGGATTCACAAAACACCATACTTGTTTTTAGGTTGGGAATATGAGAAGGAATGTAATTATATTTCCTCATTTTTATAGTATTATCTATAACGTAATATAGCAATGTCTTATTGGATTCTCTGTCTCTCATCTCACATCTTCACATGCATCAACACCCATGCTTTGTGAGGCTTTCCCTTCCCAAACTATTCATTAGCTGTTTTTGAAAGCTGAACATATAAAAACAACCAGTAAGCTAATTACAGGGAAGTCTACAATTCCTCCCTCTGTTCTCTATATTGGTATACAATATGTTATCCAGCACTGATCTGTCTTTTTCTTCTAATTGTACCTCTAGGTACTTCTTTTATTGGAAATTCAAATTTTAGAAGCCTGACATTTGCAATATGAACCAGAACACCAGTGTTGGATTTCGAAGGTTTCTACAAGATTCAGTTGGTGAATCTATGACTCCCCCTTGGTTAGCTGGACATTGCCACAATCATTCCTACTCGGGTAACCTGCAGGCTAGACTACGGTTATCAACCTTAACACGGGCCATTCTTTTAAAATATGAACAATGTTGGATATTGCAAAATGTATCTGCCAAATTATTGGATAGTGTATTAGACTGATCTTCAGGTAGCACTAGATGGCTGTTTCTGGATGTATTGTCAGGTTCTTTGAAGTTCTTATTGAGCTGAGACCAGGGCACATTATGGGCTGCCTCCATAGGGAGCCCATAATAGGTGCCTGTGAAGCTAGGAAAGTGGGTAGGCCTTCTACGTAGCCAAACTGACTTTGTAAAATGCTCTCCTCAGAGAGATCTGACATTACTCTTTCAGTCACCAATGAAGAAAAGTTCTTTTGTTCAAAAAGCACTTGGCTTGTCTGGTTCTAGAACACTGCTGGACATTTTTAACAGTTATTCATAGGATTGCTTCTGTAAATTGATGCTGATGTTGATGTTTCATGTTTTATGTTAGATATTATTTTACTTGATAGGTTATGTTATTTAATTCTATTTGTCATGTTATAAATTGCTTTTGCATGATGGGTTATTTTGTGTTTTCATGTCTTAATGTATTGCTCTATTAAGGCATTGAATGTTTTTATTTGTTGGAATCTGCCCTGAGTCCCCTTGGGGAGATAGGGCAGAATATAAATGAAGTCATATTGTTGTTGTTGTTGTTATTATTATTATTATTATTATTATTATTATTATTATGCTTGTCACTGTTAAGTTAGGGTTAAGTTGTCACTGTTTACTCTTGGAAGGAGGCATTTTTTGCTCCTTCTTTGCCCTTCCTTTTTTAATTGTTTCAAACGTATGACAAGTAAAGAAAAGCAAGGTACACTTTATTCTGATAAAAAGGAGAAGAAATCAATCTTCAGCTTGATTCTATTTCCTTACATCCCTTATTTTAAAAAATCAAATACTTTAATCTGCTGTATAGCCCTGCTTTGTCTCCTTAATTTTGCCAAACTTCAAAACAGCCTTCTCCATTCTTCTCCTCCTTGAAGTCCCTCTCAAGACCTTCAACAAAATCTCAGCTTACCTGCGTCTCCACCTGCCATCTGATTCTTTCCACCTGAGCCTCGCTCCTCACATTTCAATCCATGAATCTCCCCAATCTGGTTACATATATTTTCTGCACATGGCAAGCCTTCTGGGTATGCTGCCGATGCTTAATAAAGATCTAGAATTCAGAGGGAGCTGCAAAGGGTGACTGTTTTATGGGACTCTTGAGAACTGAATGCAAAGCAGCTTCAATCTGGTGTGTGTGTGTGCGTGGAAAGGGGATGCTTCCTTTCCAGAGCAACTGTTGCCTCTCATCCACTGCAATCAAACCTACTGCAAGTAACCCACTGCAATGAACCTGTGGCTGCACAGGGTCTCCATATCCTGAACTTGAATGTCTTTTCAGAAGCATTTAAGACAGTGCCTGCCCTCCCATCCCCAGTGGCACTGTAGGGAAGGGAGAAGTTTAGTACCCATTCAGTTTACTAATTTGATGCACTTTGCTGAGGTTGAGTTGGATTGAAACAGCTCAGGAGGAAAGAAACAGACTTGTAACAGGGGGTCTTCCCCCCACTGGTTTATTATACTTACAAAGGAATTTTCCCTCTACCTTCAAGAGCTGAGTAACCTGACTGAGGACTGCAGGATTTTGTAAGCTCACACATCCTACGGGCTGCCTTAGGGGGTGCATTTTCCTGCCTGCCCCCACTAGATTGACTGTCACCACATTTGGTGCTACCAGCCTCCTCCTTTCTGCCAACACAAACGCTTTTCTAACCATTCTATCTCTTTTCCCCTCCACTCCACTTCTCTCTTTCTCCTTCTCTCTGTGTGTCAGTGTTTGTGCATGCTTTCTATTCTACTGCATTCAGATACCAACACGATCAACACAGAGAAGAGGCGTAGGGTGGGGGTTAAAGGAAAGGGGGAGAGGAAGAGAGAGAGACATACAGACACATACACACAGCCTTTGGCTCCTGCAGCAAAACCGTCTCCTCCATCATAACCCCCCCTCCAATGCACAATGCGCCAACGATAAAGCAAATGCCATTTTCTCTTGCCCAGCCAGAAGGGTAGGCAGAAATGTTGGAACCCATTCTCTACCCGCTGGCAAAGAGGAGATTTCTTTGTGGGGAGTAGGGAGAGAAAGGCTTTATTCGGTTGGGCTTTTTCCTCCCCAATTTGTCTTCTGCAGATCTAAACGTAGATCATACCACCATCACCCAATATAAGCATCCACCAAAGATATTCCCAGAACTGGAGTCGGTATGCATATCAGCTGTATTATGTCTGTTTTTAATCCATGCAGAATAAAGGGGAGGGCAAAAGCAGGAGAGGGGAGGAGCTGCACACTTATATCAATATATATTTATACACATACACATGTACACATATATCACAATGCTTTTACTGTCACTGTATATAACATAAAATCCCCCCCCCCTTTTAAAAAAAAGAAGTGGGGAAGAATAGCTCAACTCTCTTCTCTTTGCAGATGGAAGCTATGGGAATGGTGATTATTAAACATCCTCTCTCTCTTATACACACTTTAATGTGAAAGGCAAAATGCAAAGCTTGAGGGGACAACTACCATGCAATTCTGGGAAAGGTCACTGAATTATTTCACCAGAATTGCAATTAAATTGTTAGGAGCAAGGGATGTTTTTTCTGATTCCTCAATCCCTATATAGAACTATCACACTAGAAAGCTTCTTTTTCCATTAAGCAAGCCCACTCCTAAATGCACACAAATGTAGGGGGAAGGAAGTCTAAATGATTTGGCAAAAATAATGCAAAAAAACACACAACACAATTATATGCCTCTTCTAATTCCCAGCCACTGCCAAAATATATCTATTCTACTGAGAAGAGTCCATGTTGAACACAAAGAGAAATAACATTTCTAACATTCAAAGCAAAAGACTGCACAGAAAAACATACACAAGTTGCAACTGAATAGACCATAACGTATAACTGCGGTATAACTGTCCAAATATATCATTTTGAAGAAAAGTGACTTGACTATATATATGCAAAGACGCATGAATGGAAGATCACTAATTATCTCAACTTGAGATCAACAAGACAGGAGATAGCTCCAAGAAAGTGACTCCCTCCCATTTGGTCACCCCACTTTTCCTACCTCCCTCCACCCCGTCATTTCTCATCGCTTTACGTACAGACTGCAAATGATTTATATGAATGACTCCATGGGAAAGGGAGGGGGAAACTGGAGGGAGGGAACCGAAGCCTAAGATTTGCAATGTGTCTCCAGGCTTAAATAGAAATGAGAGTCACATCCTATCTCAGCAAACCAGAAAAGGAGGAGGGAAGCAGACTGGGGCATAGAGGTTCATATGGAAGGTGCTATCTTATAAAATGGCAGTTGTGAGGAGAGATCTTGGGGCGCTTCCACACAGCCATACAACCCAGAATATTAAGGCAGAAAATCTCACAATATCTGCTTTGAACTAGGTTATCTGAGTCCACATTGCCATATATTCCAGTTGAAAGCAGATAATGTGGGATTTTATTCAGCTGTGTGGAAGGGGCCTAGGAAATGATTTCCCCCCTCAATCACTCGGTAAAACCACTTTTGCTTCATGCTAATCAGAAGATGGTATTAATGCATTACGATATTTAACTCTCCTCTCACCCACATACCCTCTTCCCTTCAGACAACATCTATCATCTCCATTTGGACTCAACCGTCAACCCCCTCCCTGCAAGGGAAGGAGAAGGGAGAATTTATCTATCCTTTTCCCAACAAACTGATGAAAGGGGGAGCAATGAGAAAGTTCTTCCTCCTTCCCCCCTCCCCTACTTACACACTTCCTGACATATTTGATGTTTTAAGGATTTATCCTTTCTCTCCAACTGCATCCCTCTTCGGGAAGTGATTGGGTGACCTATAAAAATCAACAGCCCCCCCCCCCCCGATGTCTACAGGCTGCATTGGTGGGGGGAGTGGATCAAAATCTTCCCTTTCCCCAATACTTCACAGGATTGGAAAGACCTGCTGAAATCCCCCCTCCATCTCTACATTTAACTCTAGATGTTGTTCTCTGGAGAGATTCCCCACCACCAAAATGTCACCATCAGCTGCTTTTCCTTTGCTACAGAGTGATGAGCCCCCATTCCAAACCTGCTGTCCCCCATTTTGGATATTGGAGACATCCTCATGCACTAATCCCACTAGCAATTTAGCTCATATTCAAACCTTCCTTCTCCCTATCCCACTCGCCATTTAGCCATACTGTGTTCTCCTTCTCACTGCATCCTTTGAGATTAGAGATAGTTTCATAAAATACAAGGTGACCGGAGATAGAAATATATGCTTAAAATACATTTTCAGGATACTGGTAATCTTCCCACCTCCATCTGTTCTGCTGAAGAAGGTGGGAAACAGACCCCCACCACCATCACCACACACACAAGTAAGGGGGGGGGGGAGGGAGAGAAAGAAATGGCATCTTACACTTCTCAGCTCCTGGGTACGATCCTTCATTGCGCTTCCTTGCGAGGTTCCGGGTCCTCAGTGGGTTTTCTTCCCCACCCTCCCTGTGGCACAGCAGTGAGACACGGCAGCTGGCAAGAACCCCTCTTCTTTGGGGTGGAGGAGGAGCAGGCTGAAGGTTGGGGGTGGGGGGAGAGAGAGGGGGGAGGTTACTGGTAATTGCAGTAATGGATAAAACGGAGCTTCCCTGCTCAGCCAAGCTGGAAGGAGAAAGATGCTCTAAGGATGGAGAGAGGCTGGTGCTGATGCAGCAGAGCAGGGTGGGAGGATGCAGGAGAGGAGGCAGAGGGAGGAGGAGGAGGAGGAGGAGGGAGGCAGAAGTCAGAGCCTGGGCATGCTCATTGTGCCCCCTCCCACCCAAGGGGCCATGGGAGTTGTAGTCTGGCTCCAAGAAGGGGAGCAACCTGGACAAGGGCTGTTTTCTCTGATGGCAGCTGGTTTGGCCTTGGCAGTGATTTCCTCTGTAATAAGGTCTTCCTCTCATCAAACTCACTTGAGATATATGAACACAGATTTATTTCCCAAAATGGAGGGGAGAGAAGAACAATCCATGTCAATCTACAGCTATGAAACTATTGAAATTCAGATGGTATAGACCAGGCATGGGCAAACTTGGGCCGCCCGAGTGTTTTGGACTTCAACTCCCACAATTCCTGACAGCCTCAGGGGGAAAAGGAAGGGGTCTGTGGCTGTTAGGAATTGTGGGAGTTGAAGCCCAAAGCACTTGGACGGCCCAAGTTTGCCTATGCCTGGTATAGACCCAGCAAAGAACTTGAGTGGGAGACTACACAGGGAGAAGTGGACTGTAAGTATCACAACTAAATATTTTTAAAGACCACAATTACTTTCCCCAATTTTAGCTCTCAATACATTAGTCAACATGATGAAATGATCCTGAGCCATGGAAAAATAGGCAGGAAGAAATACATTTATTCTTTAAAGTGTACAGCTGCCTTGTAAAAAAAAGCCAACCAAATTTACTAGAGTGGCAAAAAAATTCACTAGCTTGGATAGAAAGGACAATATGCTCCATTCCACATCTGCTTGCCAGGGCACTTCACTAAAAGCCACTTTTTGTTGCCCAAGGCAACCCAGATTGTACTTCAAAATAAAGTTGCTTAGAGGGTGTTTTGCTGTTTTCCCCGTCTCCACTTTCAGATTTTTATTTTGACCACAGAATCAAGTGATTTAAAAAGGGAACCAACAGGGAATGGCAAGTTCCTTCAACTTGTAAGGTTATGAGAAATATTTAAAGCTTCAAATGAGGAACTAGGACAGTTTGGCAGTTACTTTAGACAAATTATCCAAGAACACAAGGGTGTTACTTCTGTCCTTGGAATTCTTAATGTCAATGTAAGTTTCCATTTCATCTACAAGCATAGGCTAGGCAAATTAGCCATGCAATGTGATAGATCAAAGCTTCCTTCCCCAACCTACTGCACTCAGGTGTATTAGGTTTCCAGTTCCCCTCATCTGCAGCACTGCCTGGCTATCAAAGTTGTACCAGATCCAGGTACCCAAGACCAAAGTGCTGGGATTTGGATTAGGTGTGGGGAATGTCACCTGTTCTCCTCCTCAAGCTTTGTGTTCAGCTGTAATTTTCACAGATGCTTGGGACAAAGTGTTTTCTATTTGGTACTGCTTATCGTGGAAAGTCTGGGGTTGGTGTGAGTGGTATGTATAATAAACAGATACTGGTCAACAGAGTGTCTGAAGTTTTGGCCTCTCCTTGGGAGCAAATGTGTTGATTGTCACAATGAAAGGCATTGCTATGCCATTTGTGGCCACATCTAGAAGGGATGGTTTGAGAAAGGTGGGAGGTTTTTCACTAGTGATTTCTAGAGGAACCTTGGCCACCCATTTCAGACTCAGTCAATTAATTCCTTAACTGTGAAATTAGTGGCAGGCAAACTTCCCATGTATGCTTTCCCAGTTTCAGCCACATTTACTTGCAAAAGAGATGTGTTGGGTCACTCACTGACTGACATGAACTATGGCAACAGCCAACACACTTTCTGAAACAACTGTGTGAATCAGAGCGGGTTATTCTAAGCTTCTTCAGTGTTGTGGGCACTGCTGACTTGGAGGCCTGGTTTGACAAAGACAGCGCTTCCATACTGCGCATGTGGTCTTTCCGCTACTAGGATCATTCCTGGAACTTTGGGTCGTTTCTGTCGTTCATCCTTGTGTGTTTCTTGGACACACAGCACGTCACATTTCTTATCTCGGCACAGTTCATAAAGCAGTTGTTCTTTGGCAGCTGACATGCCTTCGATGTTGATTGAGATTATTGTCATGGTTGGTCCTGAAAAGGTCCATTGGTTGTTTTGCTTGCTTGTTTGCATGCTGCAAGTCATCTCTGGTTGCTTCTGGATCGAGAGAATCAGCCGTCTATGAAGACATTGCCCAGGGGACACCTAGATGTCTTGCAATCCTGCGAGGAGGCTTCTCTCGTGTCCCCCATGTCTGATTCCACAGCAAGCTGGCTTCAGGAAAGGCAAAAGCTGCACATCGCAGGTGCTGAACCTGACTCAGCACATAGAAGATGGCTTTGAAAAGCAGCAGATCACAGGAGCTGTCTTCATAGACCTGTCAGCGGCTTATGATACTGTGAACCACCGCCTCCTCCTGAGAAAAATGTATAATATCACAAAGGACTACCATCTCACCTGCCTCATAGGAAACCTGCTACAAAACAGGAGCTTTTTTGTTGAGTTCCAGGGCCAGAGAAGCAGATGGCGGAAACAGAAGAACGGCCTGCCTCAGGGGAGCGTGCTTGCTCCATCCATGTTCAACATCTACACAAATGACCAGCCACTGCCAGAAGGGACAGAGAGTTTCATCTATGCTGATGATCGTGCCATTACCACTCAAGCAGGGAGCTTTGAGATGGAGACAGAAGCTCTCTGAAGCTCTAGGTGCTCTAACTGCCTATTACAGGGAAAACCAACTGATCCCTAATCCATCTAAAACACAGACATGTGCCTTTCACCTTAAGAACAGACAAGCAACCCAAGCTCTGAGGATTACCTGGGAAGGAATCCCACTGGAGCATTGCAGCGCACCCAAATACCTGGGAGTCACTCTGGACCGTGCTCTGACCTACAAGAAGCACTGCCTGAACATCAAACAAAACGTGGGTGCTAGAAACAATATCATACGAAAGCTGACTGGCACAACCTGGGGATCACAACCAGATACAGTGAAGACATCTGCCCTTGCGCTATGCTACTCTGCTGCTGAGTACGCATGCCCAGTGTGGAACACATCTCACCACACTAAAACAGTGGATGTGGCTCTTAATTAGACATGCCGCATTATCACAGGGTGTCTGCGCCCCACACCACTGGAGAAATTACACTGCTTAGCCGGTATTGCACCACCTGACATCCGCCGGGAAGTAGCAGCCAATAGTGAAAGGACCAAGGCAGAGACATCTCCAGCTCATCCCCTGTTTGGGTATCAGCCAGCACGTCAATGACTTAAATCAAGAAATAGTTTTCTTAGATCTACAGAGACACTCGCTGGAACACCTCAGCAAGCGAGAGTTCAAAAGTGGCAGGCTCAAACCCAGCACCTCAATCCGTGGGTGATACCAGATGAGAGACTCCCCCTGGGCACACAGAAGACTGGGCGACTTGGAAGGCGCTGAACAGACTGCGCTCTGGCACCACGAGATGCAGAGCCAATCTTAAGAAATGGGGCTACAAAGTTGAATCCACGACATGCGAGTGTGGAGAAGAGCAAACCACTGACCACCTGCTGCAATGCAACCTGAGCCCTGCCACATGCACGATGGAGGACCTTCTTGCGGCAACACCAGAGGCACTCCAAGTGGCCAGATACTGGTCAAAGAACATTTAATCAGCTACCAAGTTTGCAAAATTTGTGTTTTGTGGTTGTTTTTTTTAACTGTTTGTTTGTTTTGTTCTGTTAGAAATGTAATGCAATGTTCTGGTTGCGGATGACACGATAAATAAAAATAAATATTCTAAGCTTCAGCATCCTCTCCCAGGCAAGCAGTTTTCTTGGTAGATATGTCTATGAAGGAAAGATCCCTAAAGGTTGAAAGTCTAGCAAAGACATCATATGCCCACCCAGAGACTGCACTAGATCATTTACAGGTATATAGGAGAGCTTTTATTCGTGGGGCACCATGAAAAGGAATGCAGATCAGTATAGGGGTAGAATGAACTCAATCCTCATAGCACACACTTCTCAAAATAGACATCTCCTAGTCTTACCAATTGTAAAGCATTATGTAGCTACTCAAGGTTCCCCTCCCCACACCAACAAACCTGTTATAGTTTTTTTTTAAAAAAAACAAACATAAGAAATATTAGGAAAATACAGAGGATTGCAAAAGGAAGATGGCTGTGATGACTGGCAGCTAGGCTGCATTTCTCAAAAACAAATTGTACTGGGCTAATATCTCTCTTTTCTGATACAGTTACAAGTTTGGTAGATCAGGGTTATGCTGTCATACAATACATCTGGATTATAGTAAGGTATTTTACAGAGTCCCCTGTGACATTGTCATAGAAAAACTGGGAAAACGTGGAATAAGTGGGTTTATAGGAGGATGATGTGCTGAGCCCAAATAATGTTCACTAATGGTTCCTTGGCATCCTGGGTAGAACTGACAATGGGGTTCTTGGAACATTGGGGCATAGGACAATTGGAGTATAGGATTCTGCCTTGGGCCCAATGTTGCTCACCTGGATGAAGGAAAAGAAGAGATGCTCACCAGATCTGTAGAAGACACCCAACAGAGAATGGTAACAAAAATCTCAGAAAACAGAATCAGAATTCAAGTTGACTTAACAAATAGGCGGACTGGGTCAAAGCTAGCACTATGAATTTCAACAGACAAATGTACAAGGCAGGAAAAGTCAAGAGAAGGCCACCTGATTTGGTAGCAATATGCCTGTTGCGGTGGCGCAATGGGCTAAACTGCTGAGTTACTGAACTAGCAGTTTAAAAACATGCAAATGTGAGTAGATCAATGATAGGAAGATAAACGACGCACCATGCAGTCATGCCAGCCACATGATCCAGGAGGTGTCTACAGACAACACAGCCTCTTCGACTTAGAAATGGAGATGAGCATTATCCCCCATAGCTGGAGATTAGCACCACTCCTCAGAGCCTTTACCTTTATTTGTGTTTCGTTGTTTCTAGGCATTGAATGTTTGCCTTTGTATTTGTGTATGATGGAATCCGCCCTGAGTCCCCTCAAGGAGATAAAACAGAATATAAATAAAGTATTATTATTATTATTATTATTATTATTAT